GGCTGAAAAGCAGATATAGCGTAAACTTGAACATTTAGTCGAAAACTGATACAATAAGAGCTGCTTTTTCTCAGTTTGGGCAGTTCTGGAATGAAACACGATCTTTCAAATGACTTTCAGTCATTGTTTAAGTCAGTTACGACTCTTCTGAACACAAAATTTTGTTTTCCCGTTCGCAACATTCCTTTGCAACCACTTAACACATTGACACCTGAACCACCTGTAACCGCTTGAACCACGCGATTGCCTCGCGCGAGAACGCTTGCCCCCCTACCTTCCCTACTAAGTGAAGTTTTTTCTCCAAACTTCCTCTTTGTTTGGAGATCAATAAACCAATAAGAATCCGACGTTTGCGCATATATTTTGATGGCTTTAGAGGGTACTAGAGGGGCATTATTCTACGCATCTTCACTAAATGATCAAAATTGGAAATTATGGCGTCCGCGCGGCCGACCCTCAAAATTTTCCGGTGGGATTTTTCGTTCATTTTCGATCGAGTTAGACCTTGCGGAACTCAGAATGTAAAGTAACAATGCTATAGAATACCCTGCTTGGAAAAGAATGGATATCAAGGTCTTAAAGGTGACAGAATAAGCTCTCGAGTCAACGACACTACGATTCTCTAGGGCGATGCGAATTATGGAAGTAAAGTGCAAACCGAACTTTCGGACTTCAAGCAGGGCCTAGCGACAATTTGACGACTCGATGGCCCGGTAAATGTTATGTTCGAGTAACAATGTGTTCAAAAAGTATTGTTTAATAGACGATTTTGCGTCAAATCGAAGTTTTTTCGAATTTTCAACATAACGCTGCGCAATTTCTGGCCATCAAGGCGGATTTTGCTAAAAGCAGGCCCGCGGCCCAGCGGCCAGCGGCCCGCGGCCCCCGGCCCACGGTCCGCGGCCCACGGCCTAGTGGCCTGGCAGCCCGAAGGCCCAGCGGCCCGCAACGGCCTGCGACTCGGAGGCCCGGTGGCCCAGTCCTGATTTTCCACAGTCTTTTTGTCCAGCAGTAAATCCACCCGCATGCACAGATCGACAATGAGGGTTTGTTGCATGTTGTTCAGATAAAAACGTTTTGATTCTCTGTTCACTAGTCTCTTTACAGAAACCGATAGCACAATAGAGGACTCTCATTATCGAACGATGAAAGTTATTTTCAAACCATACTTTGAAAGTGAAAATATCATAAGTAATGCAATATGAGAACTACGAATCTTTTCTCTACAGAGACATGTCGATCTATTTACAGGAACTCCACCCCAAAAAGAAAGCGTGTTCTCAAACATTGCTTTCCGTCGATATAAGTACCGTATTCATTCGAATACGGTAAGCGCCCTGGGCGCTTATTAAAGTTTTGGTCCTCAAGGGCGGTGGCCCTTATTCGAGGCCGAGCATTTCTTAAATTTGCACCATTTTTAGTAAGCAGCAGAATTTTAACTTTTCATTGAAAGTTTTTTTAAATTACTAAGGAAACTGTGTGTTCGGGTAAGTCTCTTAGTGGTACTTACTCGATTTCAATCTCATTGTCACTAAGGTCAACAAACGAACTCTGCTTCTCAGTCGGGCGACCGATCGATTTGCCGACGTTACACTATCAGACATCGAGGAGGCAGCTCCTTATTCGGGGTTTGCGAAGAAATACGGTACATTATTTCGGGTGTAAAAAGAGTACTTTTCGATCATGGCGAAAAGTGAAAAAATCAAACCCCGCCATCAAGAGATTCAAATTTTCTTGTTTGTGTTGCGCTTCAATTTTACCCTTGGTTCATATTTTCTTTTCCTTTGTTGTTATGATATTTTCACTTTCAAAGTATGGTTTAAAAATAACCTACATCGTAATGAAAGTCCTCTACGGTGCTATCGGTTTCTGTAAAGAGACTAATGAACAGAGAATCAAAACGTTTTTTTCTGAATAACATGCAACAAACAAAAACAAGGATTCAAATGATTAAATGGTAAACGAATTCAAGCTCACTGTCATCCATTTTGCGCGCCCAAACCCGATGCAGATCTGTGCATGCTCGTGGATTTACTGCTGGACAAAAAAACTGTGGAAAATCATGACTGGGCCACCGGGCCACCGGGCCTCCGGGTCGCAAGCCGTTGCGGGCCGCTGGGCCTTCAGGCTGCCAGACCACTGGGCCGCGGGCCGCGGGCCGCGGGCCTGCTTTTAGCAAAACCCCATCAAGGCAAGTAAACAACGATCTAAGCATGATGAATTTTACCGCGTGGGCTTTGTACACTTAAGAAATTCGTACGTTTTTCGCTAATAACAGCAAATAAAAAACTGTTTTGAATAAATCTGTCGTCCCGAAATATTTCTTGGCCATTTTAGTCTTGCTTCCTATTGATAGATTCCATGGCAATTGAGATTTCTTCACTCACGGACAAATTTGCATATTCCTTTTTTAAATATGACCCACAGGCTCATTTGCACACATGCGAAAATATTTTGCGATTTTTATCTTTCATCTTGATTTTTGAGTTAAAACGTAATATGCACCTATCGCTTTTTTCGTCGGAAATAAGTTGTTTAATTAGTCTTCTTTCACTGGAGCTTTTTTGGAAAAGATGATTTCTAAAAATTTACTGCGCGTTGTGTTTGCTTTCTTGGTTTCTCCTAAATTTTGACTTTTCGTAGGCACATGTTACACAAGGAGATCATCAGAAAGAAAACAAACTTGTGAAAAGTCCTCTAGCACAATATATTAGATTTATGTTTTGTTTTACAAAGCTTCGATTGCGGTTGGCTCCGATGAAATGATCGGAAAGGAACGCTCTTTCGTCTACTTTTCAACTAGGTTATTGGAGAAAGCGTCCCTTAGAAATCCAGGCGAAAATTGACGCGAAATGGCCGCCCAGATCTAGAAACCGTAATTGGGGTAATATCTTCATCCTCTTGGTCAGAAAAGTCGTTTTCTGAGTCTGTGTCATATTCGTCTGCATGTGTTCGCACCTCAGCAACTGTCACTTCAACGATACGGTCGTCAACAAATGTGATATCAGTCACATCTCCACCTTCCGAAGTAGCTTGAACAGCTCAGCCTTTGTCGCTGCTGAACCCTACTGACTGATCTCCCGAGTTAAAATCGTTACCTAGTCCCGCCAACAAGTCCACTTGGGTGGAATCTTGTTGCTTCGTGTAGACGGCTGGTGGTAGAGCTCCTGCCCTGTCCTTGGTAGTTTCCTCCCGAACTGTCTTCTGCCTCAAGGGACGATACTTTTCCACAAATTCTTTCATAGCACTTTCAATCTCGGGGTCGATCTCTACTGAAGGTAGAGGTCGCATAAAGTTTACATTTGCAAACTCCGTGCTGGTCTGAGAGACAGGATAGCAGGATTTTTCATGAGTAAAATACTTGGCTGCCCACTTCGTTACTCTCTTCAACGACTCCCTGGTTATTAATCCAAAGTCTTGGGAATACTGTAATGCGGTGAAGGTCGCATGCTTAAAATGGGAAACTGCATGTAGATTCTCCACAACTACTCTGAGTAGTGTGCTCAATTCAATATCTTGGAGATAATCGTTGTTAATTGAAGCTATGCTGTTGTGCAGGCGGTGCATTCCTTCTTCAAGAAGTTTAAGTGAGACTTGAGTTTTATGAGACACAGTTCCTTCGGGACCGTTGTTTGCTGTGATTTCCTTTATACTGTGCCGTTGTCTCACTTCAGAAACGGTCTTTGTGATGTTGTCATTTACATTTACGACCGACTTACGTCACTTGAGTCTTACAGCCAATAACATCACGGCAAAACCAACCGATCATTTCACACGAACTGGAATAAGAAAATTCTACTGACAACAATCATTCACTTGACTCTGATGATGACTTCCGCACAGGTTGTCGAAACGTCAGTCACTACCACCGACAACAGTCCTTCTCAGGACTACACTCACCCGCACGATCAGACTACACCTTCACACGATTTGTCAGTTGCCAGTTAAAAAACTTGGCCGTTTGTCAGTTGTCAGTTAACCCCATCCAGACCCTCCGTTGGGACTCACTCAAAGGTGACCACGTTCGTTTAATAGAAGTGACTGGTTAATAGAGGTGAAAATTACAGTGATTTAGGGGAAAAAAATTCGGGACTTTGTCAACCGACTGCTTCATACTGTGACGGCTATAACCGTTCGACTGTTCGAGAGCAACCGATTATAAAAATTTCCAAGAACACATCTCTTGACCAGCGTAAGTCAAGCAAATAAATAAAGGGTGAAAGTTTCCAAAGAAACTGTGGTGCTGCGTCGGTGGGGGTAACAAGGTAATTTGCTAACAGCAACTAAGTTGAAATTGTAAATTGGCCACCGTAACGAGTTAAATACTGAGCTATTTTAAAAAGCTTTTTAACTCGTTACGGTGGCCAATTTACAATTTCAACTTTGTTATTATCAGCCAACTTACTAAGTCAAGAAAAGCCAAATATATAAGGGATCGCTGGAAATTGTAGTGAGTTACCCGCTTTCAGAATCAACATATTTCTCGAGTAAATCGCTAACATAAAATGCTTCAATCGTCAGGGCCGTCCTGTTATAATCTCCGGTGTAAAAGGCGTTTTGCGATTCCCAAATGTAAGACCGAGCGTTTCAAACAATGTTTTTGGTAAGATCATGTATTAACAACGAATTTTAGTGCTCGGTGAGTTTTGTAAATGAGATCGATGGCGTTGTATATATTTTTACAGTTCAAGCTTTCATTATATTTATAGGACATTATTATTTATTTAGGACTTTATTACTATCATTATATTATACTCACTATTATAAGATATTATTTTATATATCATTTTACTACATTTTATTATATTTTATACTATATTTTAAATTCACAATTCAGTTTAGTAGCTGCAAGCTTTTCACAAATAAACTATCTATCTATGTATCTAAATAAAATTTAAACGAGCGGTTGCAAACGGCGAATCTAACCCAGTTCAATTTAAAAATCCTCAGATTGACGTTGTCTCATTTGATTCAATCGAATAATTTGGAAAACGGTCGTAATGGACAACGAAGAAGGACTTATGGTATCCGCTATAGTTTTTGGTGTTGTCGCCTACCTTCTGAATACTGGTCGTGGCTTACAAGCCATGAAGTTAGGCAAAGAATGTTTGATTTTTCTAACCTCCAAAGCACGGATAAAAGAATACCACTGGTTTTACGGAGCAATAAATTTGCTAATGTTTGATGCGGCATACAAGGTCTCCAATTACACATCTGCAGAAAGGTATGCGAAGGAACTTCTTATCATATATCACGCCTCTAGTGACACACTTAAGGAAGGGAGACTAAGCTTGGTACTGGGACAGATATATCAGAAACAAAATGAATTTGAAAAGGCAAGAGAATACTATCAAAAGGCAGCTGATATAACAAGAAGTACTGGAGACAAACAAACAGAGGAACGATGCTACATAATGATAGGAAATTTATTTAATTCACTGTGTGAATATCACAAGGCTGAGGAGTATTACAAGAAAGCACTGACAATCACTGTGTCAAATGGCGAAAGAGATAGGGAAGCAACCATTTACGGAAACCTAGGTACAATCGTTCAGTCGCTTGGGGAATACGACAGAGCTGAGGAATATTACAAGAAAGCGCTACCAATACGAAAGGAAATTGGCGACAGAGAAGGAGAAGCAGCTGACTACGGAAACTTAGGAACATTGTTTCATTCGCTTGGTGAATACAAAAAGGCTCAAGAATACACCGAGAAAGCACTAGCAATCAGAAAGGAAATTGGCGACAGAGAAGGAGAAGCAGCTGACTACGGAAACTTAGGAACATTGTTTCATTCGCTTGGTGAATACAAAAAGTCTCAAGAATACACCGAGAAAGCACTAGCAGTGAGAAAGGAAATTGGCGACAGAGAAGGAGAAGCAGCTGACTACGGAAACTTAGGAACACTGTTTCACTCTCTTGGTGACTACAAAAAGGCTCAAGAATACACCGAGAAAGCACTAGCAATCAGAAAGCAAATTGGTGACAGAAAAGGAGAAGCGACTGGCTACGGAAACTTGGGAACACTGTTTCAGTCGTTTGGTGAATACAAAAAGGCTCAAGAATACACCGAGAAAGCACTAGCAATCAGAAAGGAAATTGGCGACAGAGAAGGAGAAGCAGCTGACTACGGAAACTTAGGAACATTGTTTCAGTCGCTCGGTGAATACAGAAAGGCTCAAGCATACACGGAGAACTCACTTTTAATCAGAGTGGAAATTGGCGACAGAAAAGGAGAAGCAGCTGACTATGGAAACTTAGGAGCATTGTTTCATTCGCTCGGTGAATACAGAAAGGCTCAAACATACACGGAAAACGCACTTTTAATCAGAGAGGAAATTGGCGACAGAGGAGGAGAAGCAGCTGACTACGGAAACTTAGGAGCATTGTTTCATTCTCTCGGTGAATACACAAAGGCGAAAGATTTTACTGAGAAAGGGCTGGCAATCACAAAGGAAATTGGTGACAAAAAGGGAGAAGCAGCTTTATACGGAAACTTAGGAGCATTGTTTCATTCCCTAGGTGAACTTGAGAAAGCCGAATTTTATTTTCGCGAGGCTCTCTTAAAGTGCAAAGGCATTGGAGACAGCATGACGGAGTTTAAAGTTGTTTGCGGTCTAACAGTCTTGGAGTTAGCTCAGTTTAATCTCGAAGAAGCTTTTTCGTATCTTTTTCAATCTATTGCAAAATTTGAAAAATTGCGAAACTTTGTAAAAGGCAACGACTACTTCCAAATATCTTTGTTGGAGAATTATGGCGTCTTTCCCTATGACATGCTGATTAAATTGCTCTCTTTTAGCGGAAATTTTACACATGCTCTTTACGTTGAAGAACTTAGACGGGCAAGAGCTCTAGCGGACTTGATGACATCTCAATATTCTGCCAAAGAGTTTCAGTTTTCAGGTGATCCGCGATCATGGTGTGGAATCCATCACATTATGAAAGGAGAAGGCATCTGTAGTGGTCTTTACCTTTCGGTTGATGATGAAGATGCACGGATTTGGATTCTCAAAACAAGCGGAGAGATTCATTTCCGTAGAAAAAGATTGGACTCAGATCGTCAGTTTGGAAATGCCGGTTCAGTTCCCGACCTGAAAGTGTTTTTTTCGGAAAGTTTCCTCCACTTTGGCATTCTACCTAGAGATGTTTGCGAAGATCGCTCTTTAAATGACGAACGTGTTCCAACATCATCTGATGATGTCAACCGATCGCCTTCAACACACAATAATATGAAAAAAAATCTTCGTTTGTGCTACGAAATAATCGTCGCTCCCGTGGCTGATTTATTAAAAGAGCCTGAAATTATCATTGTCCCTGATAGCTGCATGTACCAAGTGCCATTTGCAGCCTTAATTGACGAAGGAGGAAGATATTTGTCTGAAACATTCAAGATTCGTATTGCTCCTTCTTTGACCACTCTCAAGCTTATTAAGGACAGTCCTCCAAACTACCACAGTCAGAGTGGGGCTCTCATAGTGGGTGAACCTGAGGTAAGCAAAGTGATTTACAAGGGGCAACCGATCTTCCTCGAGCCATTACCAGGTGCAAGAAGAGAAGCTGAGATGATTGGAAAAATGCTTGGCGTCCCCCCATTGTTAGGGAGACATGCAACAAAGAAGGCGGTTATTGAACAGATGAAGTCAGTTGCGCTGATACATTTTGCTGCTCACGGATATGCGGAGAGAGGAGAAATCGCGCTTTGCCCTGTTAGTACTACTAATAATATTCCACAAGAAGAAGAATACCTCTTGACAATGGCTGACGTATCAAAAGTTCAACTTCGAGCTAAACTGGTTGTTCTAAGTTGCTGTCACAGTGGACGCGGAGAGACTAAAGTCGAAGGAGTCATTGGAATCGCTCGGGCGTTCTTGGGATCCGGTGCTCGCTCGGTGTTAGTGGCGCGGTGGGCCTTGAACGACGAATCGACAGAACAGTTCATGAATCGTTTCTACGAATTCTTGTTTCGTGGTGAAAGTGCCAGCGAGTCTCTTCACGAGGTCCGAAAGTGGATGAGAAATAACGGCTTTCCTGAAGTGGAGAAATGGGCTCCGTTCATGCTGATTGGAGATAATGTCACATTAAGGTAGGTTTTTAAGGAAATGAGTCAAGTTTGTATTTAAAAAACCGCAATGAAAATGACACTTGGATGAGGATCTTCTGAGGCGTAAGTGCACTTTTTATAACATGTCAGAAGGAACCAGAATTTAAGTGCTTGTGAAATCACCTACGTTGGAAGAAGTCAGGAGGACGCTCACGTTTTTTCTTTTTTTTTTTATTGTGCTTTTCCATCGAGTGCGAGGAGTGTAAAGAGAGACATTGAAGTGCATTTTCTCTAGTTCGGACGATTTGAAAAAGCCACAAGGACACAAAAGCAAAATTCAGTGGTCCTCTCACACATCTAACTTCGTTTATTTCATGGAAAGAGTGTGAGCTCGTTACGGTAAATAGAGGATTTGTGCTGTAGAGTAAAAACCCGCAAGTAAGAACCTAAAAATTAAGAACCTGCTAGCCTAAAATTTGCCGCTTATCCCACCTATAAACAAGAACCTATTTAGCCTAAGAAAATTAAAATAGGTTCTTATTTTCTAAAATCATATTTTTAAATGTTACAATTAAAGCTTAGTACAGCTAGGCGAAACATATAATTAGATGTAAATACACAAATTTATATTATTTCCCTTTTTGTTGGGGGATGGGGTAGGGGTGGTGTGGTGAATAAAATTAAAATATGGGACAATTACCATCTTGTTAAGCAGGTTGTTATACCATTTATATAAAAACCTGTTTAGGCTAACTCCTAAAAATGTAGGTTCTTACTTGCGGGTTTTTTACTGTATCGCATATAGTTCCGCCATGTGTTCTATTATTGTTGAAAAGACGAACGAGACAAAATGAAGACGTACTGGCTTAATGACGACAGGCAATGAGTTACTGATAGGCATTAACTTCAAGGCGAACTTCTCCAAGTAAATTCTCTCAAATTTTGTGTGGAAACTCCTTGCCAAAGTCATCTACAGTATCCGATTGGAAGTTAACAGCGACTAAACCTGTCGTAACAGCATAAATTCATTGAACAAACTTATTGAATTAAACAATTAATTTACTGAGGAAATAATTCAAGATTAGCACCTTTGCTCAGGTTGTTAATATTATCTTACAGGAAAGAAGACATAACCTCCAACGCTCACAACTGATTTGCAAATCCTGTTTCCTGAACAAAGCTGACTCTCAGTCAAGACCCTAATCTTTGTCTCTACCGTATGAAACGGAACATATCGTTTGATATCACAGAAGCATTTGGTCAGTTAATTAGTTATAAAATAGAATTTTGGGCTTTCTCTTTAGCAGACAGGCACGCTTGTCATTTAGATGTCAGGGGTAATCTTCGTGAGGAGCCCTTCATTGTAGATACAGCCAAGGGAATAATTAACATTTGAATAATCTAAAAAAGTTTTCATTATGATTTATGAGCCAGATAACCTTCTTTAGCCTTTCTTTTAAAGAAAACAGTTGGTCATATAGATATTTAGTGTAATGAAATTTTTTTGGAGGTTTTACAAGATATATTTTCATTTTATAAAGAAGAGGCCTTGAAAGACTGGAACGAGCCTTGGGATTGATTCTTCGAAAAGGTATCGTTCATTTATTCAGCAAGTCATTGTAGACTTTTTAGAATACTTCAGAAGTTAACCTCATCTGAATATCAATCATGGGGCCAAAAATGTTATTTTGTCCATCCAACTGCCATTTTTTTTTTTTTTTTTTATGATCGTACTCGGTCAAATTTGAGTTTCCAGTATCTCGAATGAAAGATAGTCATTGTAGACCCCTTTGTAGGACTAGTTCCAAGAGGGAAGCTGATCCCAGTCGTATATATCAAATAAGGGGGACAGAAATTCAATTAGAATGTTCCATTATCTTTTTCGAATTTTGTTCAACAGGTCACTGGACTAGTCTTGTAATCGGTTAGATTTGAATTTCCGGTATCTTGAATCGAAGATAGTCATTGTAAAACTTTAGAATATTCAATCATCAAATACACGTTTTGTTTATGAACAGGTCACTGGACCATTCATTTTGATGGTAATCGGTCACATTTGAATTTCTTCTCTTAAATAAAAGCTCATCTTACCTCCAGATAATTTTTTTGGTATTAATTTCGCTTTGTAGGAGTTAAGTCGAGATAATTTTTAGCAGCAAAGCCGTGTATTTCGTGGCATATATCAACCCAATTGCTAGAAAGAAAAACAGGGCTGCAGTATTTTATTGTTCACATGAAAACTATGTTACAAGCGTTAATGATTTTAAACATTGTAAACGACACTTGATACAAACTGGGATAAACTTCAACAATTTCGAGTTGCTGTTTTTCATTTCTACATGAATGCGCATGCAATCCGACATGACGTTATCAGTAACAGGGGCACAACCGGAAACGATAATGCATCCGTAAATGTATGAATTGGTAAAATTGTCGGACAAAAATCGAACCTGGCTGTGATACCTCCGCACAAATCCAACCATGTCTTGCTCTGCATTTATACTTATATTTCCTATTCGTCAAAAATATGTTGTTTTTAGACAAGATATTTAAAACATATTTAAACAATAAAAATCGTTCACGTTAAGTTTCGAAAGTTTGTCTGTGTTATACCACGGGGGTTTTCAATGTTTTCAAAGAAAAATTCGGTTAACAAAAAACTATGAAAATGTTATTTATCTTATAATTCGACGTGGCTGTATTTCCTCTGTCTTCTTCTCGAACAAAAGTTACAAGTTCCGTCAGTTCAGACGTTTTTGCTTTGAGTCACTGTAAAGAGCATTATTTGCCAGCTGAAATGCTGTAGCAGCGTGTTCCTTGCAGCCTTCATCACAATCACTTGGTATGTTAATTGCGACATTGACTTGATGGTGGCTTTCCTGTCGCTGCTCGTGAATTTAACCTTTTGATAATGCACTCCAAACGTAGGGATACCGCTGTTTTGAAACCCAAGATTCAATCCAAAACTTTCCGATCTGCTTGTTTGACTGCTTTTTTCCGTCTTCACGTCTTGTGCAATTGTCACAACCAAATTTTTTTTCTCTGTACGAGTTTGTTCCGGATTGTAAATAACTTGCTTCGTTTCCGGATCAAACATCGCAGGCACAAGCTCACAAGATGCCACTGGAACCCTTCCTTGTCCAAACATGCATAGGAGAACGACGATTTTGAACCACCAAAACTCGGAGAGCGAAAGAGAAGCCATTGCTGGCAACAGAGTAATGACAATTCTTGGAATATGCATTAGATCTGTTGCGTGACCGTGATAAACCGGAAACGGCTCGTGACGGGAATTTTCCTAGAACTGAGAAAAACATGAGTTCTCCGGGCTCGTGTGTGCTATGCATCAAAGTTAAGAAGAAAAAAACCCTGTTATTCGCGCTCAAGCCCTTTATGATAACCTTCTCTGTCAGAACATGATCTTACAGGAATAACCTCCCAAGATTTCAACGAAATCCTCCCTTGTCTTATTAACACACAAACTAAGAATAATTTCAAATCGGAAAGTTAAAGAAGGCAATGTCAAGAAAGCGCAGTCAGAGCTTTTCATTGGGTAAACCGGAAGCTGGGTCAGACGCTCGTCACGGGAGTTTTCCTAGAATTAACACAATGAAGTATCCCACAAACCAGCTGTCGCTGATCTTATCTTTCGAGTCGCACTTTGATGAAAAAAACTTGCATGATGCCAGTGAGATTCTTCCTTGTCTAGACATTTACAGATTGAGAATGATTTTAAACCAACAAAACTCAGCAAAGGAAAGAAATTTGTAATATCTGTTGCGTGATACAATAAACCGGAAGCTGAGTCATTTTCACCCGATGGGAATTTTCCCTGAAGTAAGAGCAGCCTGAAGTAAGAGTATAAAGGTTCAATAAATAATTGTGGAAAACACTTTCTTCCAACAAAAACCTTTTCCCTTATCTACTGGGTCAAATTTACTACAAGATAAGGACATCTACTTGTGTTCTATTTACAATCGTCTGTTTCGTTTTGCTCGTTTCTGCACCAAACGGGAGTTTCGGTTTCCTTCGCAGAGCCCTAAAGAAGGTAGAAAAAGCTGTGAAAAAAGTCGTCTTCCAGCCAGTGAAAAAAGTTTTCAAGGAGGTGATAGAAAAACCAGTTAAGTCTGTGCTGAGAGCTGTAGGACTGAAAAAGGTTCGCAAGACATATAGAGAGTTCCAAAAAGAGGTGGTTCATTCTCGGGTGACTTTCACTGAAGATTCCTACCGAGCTGAGAAAATCAACCCTTGCCCTGACGGACAACATGATATTGTGAAAACAGAGCAGCCAGTCGAGATTCGCTTTGAGGACAATGTAATAGTGTTACAGGACAGCTATTGCCGAAAATGTGGACAGCATTTCTTCAACACAAAACATAAGGATGAATTGTGAACGCAAAGCTGAGCTTCAAACTAGCGGGACATTCGCACAAATCTAGAATGAAATGTTTATTATTTCTTTATTTCCTTAGAGCTGGATATTGTTCACTGGATGTCATTTATAAATAAATAGCAACTTCTGTTGGTTAAAAATACATTTATTATAATCTACATTTTCTAACAACTCGTATACAAATGTCTATTGCATGCATACAAATGTCTAAATGGACTCATAAATCACGAATTGACTTTAGTAACACATCAACGTCTACATGATTATAACACTAGAAATAAAGTCAATCTTAGACTCCCCTGTGTTAAAAGGAGTTGGGGAAAACAAAGAACTGCTCATCACGCTGTAAATGATTTTTATTCTCTCAGCGAGATGATACGAGACTCTGCCAATGTAAACATTTTTAAACGACAGGTTTATAATTTTTTAATTAAGTGTTTTATAAATTTTATATTCTTAGTCTTCCTAGATATATTAGTTCATAATCTTAATTTTCGAGGTCCTGGAGACTTTGAGACGGCCGAGTGTTCTACTTTCTAAAGTAATACACCATAAACAACATGCCATAATTCACTCAAAAAGTGCACCGAATGGCGTGAAGCTTCACAGAAACTTTAGCACAACAAACAATAAGGTTAATTCAAATTTATCAGTGACTTTTAATTTATTATTTTATTTTTTTAGGGATTTACAAATACATAGACCACAGGTCCCCCAAGCTGTTCAAACAAATATCAAAAAATTTAAAAAATATAAACTAATAAAATATTTTTAGCCTATCCTGTTTATTAAGTTTTATTTTATATATAGTCCCATAAAATTTCAAGCTGATATGAGCTGTTTTAGGAAGGTTATTAACTATTAACTTAAAAAGTTTAATAACAAGCCCCTACTAAAAGCAATAAACACTTAACTGCTACTTATATTTACCGGGAGTGAGGTCATTACAGGGAAATCTCAGACCGAGGTCTTGTCATATTGACCTCGCTTCATCAAGACCGAAGTCCGAGATTTCCCTGTAATGAGTGAGCGGACGAGGTTAATACATTATTTATTATATGGTTTATTCTGAATGTTGATAAAAAGGAAATTTTAATGCTGAAATTCAGAAAAAGTGATGAATACTTCAGTTTTACTTTCTAAGTTACTCCTGAAAAAATTTTTTTGCTTACCAATGTTACCCATTTCTTCAAGACATTGTTCAGTTTTATGATAAATTTTAGACGAGTTGTAAACTGAAATTCTTGACCGGTCATTACAAGAAAATAATGACCGGTCACTATGCGCCAACAGCCAATCAGATCGTGAGAAATTTACGAGCCATAGAATAAATTTCTTTCAGTCAGGCTTGTTATATGGATGCATATGAGAATAAATAATCAATTATGCAGTATTATTATAGTTAACTTTTCTTATATGAAGTACTTATTACTGTTGCAGTTGAGTTTTCATTCCATAAAATAATTGTCTAAGTATAATAAAGGCATATCATTTTTCCTGATTGGAAATTTATAAATCCCACTGGTTGTTTATCCCAATACCTAGTTGAAAAAATCCAACAAATAAAACCAAATTTCCAACAAATAAATACAAATCCCAGCATGACTGCGCAGACTTGCACTTTTAATAGAAAGTTATTATTTCAACAGTCCAAATGAAAAGCGTTATGAAATAGTTCTCAAAAACTTAAGAAGGAGTATAGAATGCCAGTTGAATAATTTTATTTCACTAATACAGTGGAATACGTATGATGCACGATCCTTCGCAGTAGATAGCGCTATTCATGCAATAGCGAAAATCAGACCTGAAAAAAATTAGGCCTGTACGAGATTCGAACCACTGACCTCTGCGATACTAGTGCAGCGCTCTACCAATTGAGCTAACAAGCCAACTGGGAGCAGGCCGTTAAGTTGATTCTTAATAAACCCGTGATGATAAATCATATACAATGAACATATGAAGTTCATATATTTTGAACTGCGGTGTTAAATACGTATGATGCACGATCCTTCGCAGTAAATAGCGCTATTTATGCAATAGCGAAAATCATTGTATCTGATTTATCATCACGGGTTTATTACGAATCAACTTAAAGGCCTGCTCCCAGTTGGCTTGTTAGCTTAATTGGTAGAGCGCTGCACTAGTATCGCAGAGGTCAGTGGTTCGAATCCAGTACAGGCCTGATTTTTCTTTCAGGTCTGATTTTCGCTATTGCATAATTAGCGCTATCTACTGCGAAGGATCGTGCATCATACGTATTTAACACCGCAGTTCAAAATATATGAACTTCATATATTCATTGTATCTAATACAGTGGAACTTGGGTTTTACGATATGCCTCGGGAGAAGAAAATTGTATCGTAAAATTGTATCGTGAAATCAAAACCGAGGCCCTTTTTTTTTCTATATTTCTTAATTGTCGAGAGAAAGAAATGGGTATCGTTAAATCGAGTTATCGTCAAATAGAGCATAGTTAATCTCAGGTACTACACTGTAGTTGCCATAAATCCTAGTCTATTTAGCAGTTATGTCACAGATAGTTGACAGCTAGACACTAGATACATAATGCAGGCTTTCCAAAAATAAAGAAGTTTGAATAGACACATGGTAGTACTTTAAAATGATTACATACGCATTGGTTTTGATTCCAAAAGCCTCATCGATCCTGATGGTGGCATAAATATTCAAAACAAGCGCAAAAAACTTGGATTACAAGAGGAACAAGAGACAACTCTTATTGACTTTCCTACCAAGGGATTTGTTGTATGAATCAACTCGAAGCTGAATGTTGGCTATCCCCAAATTTGGAAGTTTTTAATCGAAGATGTGGAATTTAAAAACAATAATCAGTTGAAAAACCAATCGTCAAGGGATACAATTTTTATAGATCAGGAAAAGTGGAAGGAATTTAGGCTAAACAGGAGGGTGAACTGTTTTACGTAAAGAGCCAAGTAAAGTAATCTTATAACAAGGAAGCTGACAAGAATAAAAACATCTACACTGTCAAAATGATCATAAATGCAAGTTCACAAGTTAAACAAGCTGTCTGCCCATGCCCCTCAGGAAATCATGGACGGTGCAATCACCTAGCTGCTACTTTATTTGCTATGGAAGATGCATAACTTCATAACTTATGCAATCCTCTGTGTACCCATTTTGATATGACGCATCATAGCCTGGGACGTTAAACCCTGCCCACAGGGTCTCGTTTTGAATAGTTCAATGTCAGGGAACAGGGAGTGTCTAATATTTTGGTTATTACACGGCTGAGGCGGTCCGGGGACCAATAACGAGAATTAATCAATCAGATTACTTCATTTCCGTCCCCGTACATTTATTTCATAGAATACGAAAAGAGTTCGACTTGAAGGATAATGAATCTACTGATTGCCATCGTAAAACCTTAGGAAGTGATTTTCAGGCTACAAATTTTGGAGATTTCCATATGAAGTATTATTGTTTTTCTCATGATTTAGTCACTTTGGTGTGGATCGCGACGTTTCGACAGCTTCCTGCGTTCTTGGCGAGTCCTCTTCAAGCGGCATAGGCAAGGTCGACCGGCTGGGCTCTTGAGTAGATAACAATGCGCTATGTCACGCTAAGTCACACAATATTCGACTTCAAGATGGCGGACGATGGCAACGATAAGGACAATAAGCGCTTCAAAAGCGAACCTGGCAGCACGCTATCTTGTTATGCAGTGCGACTAAAACCAGGCCAGGAAATAAAGGATTTTCTGCTGAACTTCGTTAAGGTTAAGAAACTCGGGGCTCCCTTCGTTCTTTCTTGCGTTGGGAGTGTGACTCAAGCTACTCTTCGGTTGGCCAATGCGTCGATAGACACCCCGAATGAGGTACGGAAATCACATGACAGCCAGTTTTTTTTTTTTTTAGTATGGAAAGGCTCCTGCACGTTAAGGCTTTTTCATAATCATTCAGCGAAAGCATTATTTTCTGAAGAGGAAAATGCCTGTGCCGAGGTCTGCTGTAGTGATTGCATCACAACACGCGGAAATCCGCCCTATTTTGCACAAAAGCTTTATAAGCTTGTAATTATGAAAGGCCTTTTAAAGGAAAAAACCGATGTTTTTGGCTCAGGTGTTTTGGATCACGCAAATATTGGGCTGATAATTTGACTATCTTCATTTGGTGGCGAATTGAAAAAGCTTGTCATGAAGGGTGAGGGGTGGGGAGCATACTAGGAACAAGGATTTATCTGAGAAATGCGATACACTGGAATTGTTGATTTACAGGGTTGGTCTGGTCACCTTCTTCACTGCTTAATATAAGTAAAAATCTGTCAGTTGATACTGTTTAGGATTTGAAGATGGGAGGGGAGGCTAAGGCTTACAGTTGTGATGGATTACCAGCTGCACTCAAAGCACAGTGCACCCCACCCCCTCCAAAAATCTTTCAGATTTTGTCACCCACAAGCAGAAAGCCATATTGTTAAAATGCATTTCTTTTGAGAACTTATTAAATGGCTGAAACCACCCGACTCAGTGCCTGTATCCTAAACAGATGTGATCAGAAGTGTTGCTAAATCCCAGGATAACATCCTGGTCCAAACCAAGTAAACCCCCTCCCCACCACAATTGTTTTCTTCTGATTTCTGTTACAATACACTGGTACCCATCTATCCTCCTGAGTGAAAAAGTCAGATTATCTTGCCCAAAGATATATCATGCCACCGATAGCCATGACTTGAACCCATTAAGTTCAGATTTTGATACAAGCTAATTTTTTGTTTTTTCAGATCATTGAAGTTAAAGGAAGGCATGAGATTGTCTCACTTGTTGGAACACTGGCTGATGAAGGACACCTTCATGCATCCCTTTCAGACAAAGATGGCAACGTAATAGGTGGTCACGTTATGGGAAACATGAAAGTTTTTACCACAGCTGAGGTTGTCATTGGAAACTGTGACACATTGTTATTTACCAGAGAGACTGATGATGAAACTGGCTTTGATGAACTTGTTGTAAGGGGAAAATAGAAAGGCACTTTTATAACAGCTAGGAGCTACTCAAGATAATTTGATCCTTTCAGGCGGAAATTTATTTTTATGTTATGATCACTGTATTGATTACTTCTGTCTCATAACATTTGTTTTAGGATAAAACACACAGTTTTCAACAAAGTTTATACATGATTATTTGACCTATACAATTGTGTACAGCATACACCCAAACATTTGTTAATGATTATAAATACAATGTATGTTTTTACCTTTAATGATGTATATTAGAAGAAAATTGTAATATAAGGAGCAACTTGTAATCTTTTGTCTATCTATTACTTTGTAGAAAAGGCAACTATTTATCCTACACGCTGTTTTTAAGGATTGCTGAACTGCAAACAGCCCTAGCAATAGGCTCGATTTCTGCTGCTCTCTCAAATGCAGTCTTTCTCATTCCTCTCTGAGAAGAGACTCTTCAGGAAGGAGCGCGGGCTCTGGTTCCCAAATAGCAGCTGGTAATTGAGTCTACCCTAGCAACTGAAATCACTTTATTTAATAATGGTTGACTATTAACTCTCAGCAATTTAGGTTTTCCTACATCTTTGAGCTCAAAGAGGGAAACATTACTTTGATGGTAGAGTGGAATAAAACTCAAGGTATGTCTAATTTAAGGAAACATTAACATGGAAAAGCATTAGGTCAGAAGCAGTTTTTTTTTATCAAAACAAGTATATAACCAGCTATAAATTGAACCATGAACCATGTCAAATTAACCTCTCACATTTAATAAAACTTCCAGCTTTGACACAGTTTCAGAATGACTGTTGCATTTTTTGCAGAAGGATGTTTTTCAAATGGAAAAGAATATTTTTGTCTTAAAATAAAAAATTTCTTATACTATTTTCACTCTTATGATGCCTTTTCTTGGTCAGAGAAGATGGAAAAATGTAACTATAGTATTTCTTTAGTGAGTCCCCTTTCATAAGCTGATAGGCCAGTTCTTGAACAAGGAGACTTATCAAGGAAAAGTGTTCGAAGGGCAAGCAAGTTTTCCCAAAGACATGACCTAAAAAAGTTCACTTTTTTCAATCTGACTCTGACTCGTAATTATCACAAAGATAAAAAGCATTTGGTAAAAGGAAGGAAAAGATAAGTATTCCAGGAAAAGTTACCAGTTTTAATGATGAAGTATGAACCATGTGATCTGAGACTGCTGTAGGTAGTGCTGTGGTATTCGATGGCAAAAATGTGTTTTGAGAAAACATTCCCTGTCCTTAAGGCCACAGAGAAACTTCTGCCACTGACCCTTGTTTATCAGCTACACCCCCAACCCGTTTTTATTTGTTTTTGTTTCCTTTCTCCCGCCGTCACTGCATTGGACTTCAGGGATATGTTTAACTGAGGAAACTTTTACAACATTTTTAATTCAAGGCGACTTTCATGAGAATTTGTACAACTAGCACCTTCTGTTACAAATGTGCGATGACCATTATCGCCAAAAACAAAACAGACAGTCTTTTTCTAAGGAAAAAAATGTCTAAAAAGGCATAGTTTGCATTTGGTTAAATCCAACGCAATTCAAATTCGCGACTCATTTGGCGACGGTTTCAATAAAGTTGGCTAGTTTCACATCCTTTTCAGACAGTCCCCCACAGTCATGTGTGCTAAGTGTAATCTGTACTTTGTTGTACACGTTGAACCATTCAGGATGATGATCCATTTTCTCGGCTTGCAAACCAACACGTGTCATGAAACCAAAAGCTTGATTAAAATCTTTGAAAAGAAATTCTTTGTAAATCGCGTCCCTTCCTTCTACCTCTGTCCATCCAGATTTGAGTAATGGAGAAAGCATCGAGTTTCTCTCCTCTTCGTCAAGTTTCAGGCGCTTTGAAGCAGGATCAGTCATGATTTGATGAAAACTTCTGCAACGAAAATCAGTGTACGTTGGGTGAACGAAGAATGGTAAACCTTACGTATATCAAACATATTTACTATGGGAGGAGTGGGTTAGTAACTAATATTTAACTTTTGGACAGGAATTACGTTATTCCGCGAATACATCCACTTGTGACATGAAAACACACAAAGATATTAATTCAAAGAAAAATTTTAAACTTGAATAATATAAATACAGAAAAAAAAGTCGGGCTTCATTCATTTACTGATTGCTACTTTCCCCTCCCCAGAAGAGAAAAATATTTTCATCTTAACTCTCATGAATATTCCACAAGACTTATAAAAAAACCAATCACGCAAAAAGTACCTTATTTGAGCTTTTCCGCCAAATGTTATTCGCGGATTGTATGAGGGGCCTTCGTACGAGACGCTTTCCCCCTTATTATTCAAATCTCACCCGTAAAATGGCAAGGTAATCACTCCAAGTGAACCTTCATGGTAATTTCCGAAAATTTCGCAAACAGAAGAGTCGAGTCTTCGAGTTGAGAAATAATCCAAAAAAGCTTTTACTAGAGATTGTTATGCTCTTCGGAATCTTCAAGTCGCCTTTAATTCCCCAGCCTCGCTTTGGTGCACAAAACTAGGTTCCAGACTCGGGCGTCTAAACATATAGTGAACCGTGAAGGCCTGAATAGAGTAAAAGTCACTCTCGGACACTTTTAAGTTAATGCTCGAGTCTACGCAGTTCGTGAGCAAAATTAAATGAGCGAAATGAATTCTGTTCTCGATTCTTCGGAGGAGAAAACAAATGGTACAAGGCTGTTACGACTGGTGATTGATGGAGGCACTTACGTTCTGAGAGAGTATTTACAGCGATGTGTTCTTCCGCCTGTAACGCTGCAAGACGTGCTTAACAACCACAGAGGAAGGCTTGGGCACTTGAAATCAGTTAAGAAGAAAATTACCGATTTTCAGTGGAATCAGTTATTTCCTTCGACTGGTGACCCACCGGACCCTCAAACATTTGACATAACTCTTTTGCATCTGTTACTACGAGAAGTTTGCGGTTTGACTGTACCAGTTCCTAATGGATGGCACGAAATACCTATAGATACTGATACCAGCGATGAAGCTAACATCGTCCGGATCAAGCTCCTTCGAAACAAGCTGTGTCATGGAAAATCCACCAACATTCCTAATGTCGAATTCCAAGATAAATGGCAGACGATTGTTAAGTCATTGGTGGCATTGGGACTCAAACAAGAGGAAGTGGATCGCCTTAAAACTGAGCCTATTGATCATGACACTGAACGTCGAATAAACGAAGAAGTAGAGAAGTGGAAAATGGACTTTGAACCACGGGTAGACAAGCTGGAGAATGACTATCTGACAGTAAAAGGAGAAATTTCTGCTATTCAAGCTTCTATTTCAGAGCAATCCATCAGTGAACATACCAACTGTCTTCCGGATAAGAATGATATCTTTGGACGATCCAAAGAGGTGGAACAAATCCTTAGTGCCATTCAAACTAAAAAAGCAGCGGCAGTTCTTGTAACTGGGGGACCTGGGTTTGGTAAAACAGCCGTGGCGATCGAAGTGGGTCATGAATTGGCATCCAACTTAAATGAAGATAGGATAGTTTTGTTTTGCCCCCTCAGATCTAAAGCAACTATTGGTGAAGTAGCCACTTCAATGATCCTTACTTGCAGTACAAGCCACTCTCAACCACCAGCACATCCCCAACATTGGCTTCGAAATTGGAGCAAACAACAACAGAAGAAAGTTTTTTTAATTCTAGACAATGCTGATGATGTTTTAGAATCAGATGACCAAGCTGCATTTGTATCTATTTTAGGAGACATGAGAACTTTATCAAACTGTAAATTAACATTTGTTATCACTACCCGGAAAGTATTTTATGACCCCAATTTGCCCATGGAACCTGTGAGACTGTGCCCATTATCCCCTGATCATGCTGAAGAACTCCTCCTATCCAAAGTTTGTAATTCAGATGTGAAGCTGGAGCTCAACAAGACAGATGAATTGGTTCAACTTTGTGGCTGTGTACCTCTGGCCTTGTGTATTGTTGGTTCATTGCTTTCAGACTATCCTGAAGATCAGCTCATTAAACGTCTTGAGGAAAAGCCATTGGATGTTCTCAGACAGGATGAAAGTGATACCAATTCTGTTGAAAAAGCAATTGACACTTCTTTCAACTTTTTGGATAAAAATGAACAAAAGGCTCTGGTACTTCTGTCAGTTTTTCCTGGCTCATTCAGGAATGATGCTGCCCAAGCTGTTATTCAGGCAGGAGGTTGTCAAGGTGACCCTATATTCATTCTCCGTTCCTTGAAAAACCGGTCACTCATTGAGACACCAGCTTCATGCAGATATCAAATTCATCAATTTATTCAGACATTTGCAAAGAAGAAGATTGATCAAGCCAAGCATTTTCCATTCTTACAGCTGCAGGGGGAAAAAGTGGCCTGCATCCACTTTTTTTCCTGCCTAGTGGACATTGCCAATCGGTACTGGAGCAAAGACAAGTGCAAAGAGGCAATCCAATTGTTTAACATTGACAGGCACAACTTTGAGTATTTCTTTCAGTTCCTCCAAAGTCTAAGAAATGAGGATCCTCAAGTAATGGAAACTGTGGAGAAATTAATGAAGAAGATTTCCCAGACATGCATATTTTTAGAAATGTGTGTTCTTCCAGGTGTTTATATGGGGTACCTTAATGAACTTTGTCAGTTGTTGACATCACGCAAACAATCTGTCACTAAATTAGTGGAACTTTTGTGCCTTTTAGGGCTTGAAAATAGAAAAATAGGTAATCAAAATGAATACAAGAAGTTGATAGACAAGGCTGCAGACCTACACTCAAAACACTCTGAAGAATTTGACAATGAGAAGGTATCAGAGGCTTTTTTTTGCAATAATTATGCAAAGTTCCTCTCTGAAATGAAAAGGTGTTCTGAAGCTGAAAAACAATTCGTTAAAAGTTTGAAGTTGTGTGAACAACACATGGATTCTGTACAGAAAGGCATAAGTTTGCTTTATGCTGGACGAAATGACAACTGTCAAAATAAACGTGAGCTGGCAGAGGAAAAGTTCAATAAGTCATTACACCTTTTTCAGGAGAATCTTGGCAATCACATTATGACAGCACTGCTTCTGAAGGAAATTGCAGATTTCCACCTCTTCCATGGTGAGAAGGGTCTAGGATCAGCTGCTGACCAACAAAAATCATTGAAACTTTATGAACAAGCTCTGGAAAGGATGGAAAGTGTTGGTATTAAAGACCAGAAAGAATGCATTCTGCCACTCACCAACTTAGGACTGTGTTACCAATTGCAAGGTGAGATGGAAGGTGCAAAAAAATTATATCAAGCATCTCTAAGAATTGCAGAACAAGAGCTAACTGAGAATCATAGGTGGAAGATCTATGTGATGACTCAAATGGCCTCTTGGTATAAAAAAAATGAAAACCCAGAGAGAGCAATAGAGTTGAAAGAAAAGGCATTGACAATGAGTGACACACTTCAACTGCCAGATCACCAACCACCCAACAAATTTTTGCTACACAAAATTTGAGATTTTAAGAGGTCACAGCCTAGCCAACTCCAGTGCTCATTTATTGGGGGTAAGTGAAAGAGGAGTACCAAATGACCTTGATTAAGTGCCCACACTCTCATGATCACCCTCCCCCATATAAAAGCCCACCCCTTAGGTCCTAATATCCAACAAGTGCCCCTCTCAAATAAGCTTACACCCTCCGCACCTCCCTTGTGGAGGTGCGGTGGCCTCATGGTTGGTGCACTCAACTCCGGATCGAGTGGTCCGAGTTCGAGTCCTGGATGGAGATATTGTGTTGTGTTCTTGGGCAAGACACTTTACTCTCACAGTGCCTCTCTTCACCCAGGTGTTTAAATGGGTACCAGCAAATTTAATGCCTGGGGGTAACCCTGCGTTGGACTAACGTCCCATCCAGGGGGGAGTAGAAATACTCCTAGTTGCTTCATGCTACAGAAACCGGAGTTAAGTGCTGGCCTGATGGGCCTCTGGCTCGTAAACAGACTTTACCTCCTGCTCCCTTACTTTCTAAAAAATAGTTATAATAAATGGAAATCCTGTTTCTATTGCCACTTTATTTATAACTTGTTAAGCTTCAATTTCAGTGGTATCAGTACAGTTTCTTTTCCATTAAGTCACTTCCTGTTATTTCTATCTCCATACAGTCAAACCTCGACTATCGGGACATCAATTATGTGGACTTTTTCTCTGGTCCCAATTTTTTCATGAATATTTATTAGTCATGATCATATGGTTAGCCAAATGTTGCAAAATTCAACAACTTGCACATTTTTATTCAACAACTAATATTTATGCTTAACAAAATATATTTTTATTCAACAGTTTACGGTTATATTCAACATTTTATATTTATGTTCAACGACACGCATTTTCTTTTCATATTCAACCAAAATTATTTTCATTCAACAACAATATTTATTCAACTTCAGTCCAAACTTTCTACTCAACAAAAACAATTATTCAACTTCTACCATGCATAGTTATTTAATGACATACCTTCTATTATGACCAAGTGTTCGAAAGTTCCCGGACATTCAAAATATCGTCATTCAACAAAATTCCCCGCCCCTACCCCCGAACTACCCCCAAACATGAAACCCATTCCTTCCAATACGAAGATTATGGTTCATTTGTTTCTCCTGTTTACGCTTGAGGCGCCATGGATGATTTGTTACAACTGCGGGCCTCTTTTTCCCTTGTGAAAAGAAGACGAAGAAGAAGGAACCGGGAACGATGCCCGGGGCGATAGAATTTGTCATCTCTCGGCTCGCACATCTTGCTGAACTTGCTATAAGGTCGCGCGTTCTCATTAACAACGAGGTATTACTTCCCGATCGTTGAAGAGCGATCTCATTTCGAACACATTCTCCCACAATTTGTGTCAGTTCTTCCCTAACATCTCGCCCTGATCCGTCTTCCGAAACCATCTCTA